GTCAGTATAGTTTTGGATTAATCGCGGTGATATCTGGTTGTCCCCTTATTTCGAGTCATTTACACTACTAAATACTAGAATTTCTGAAAGTGTTCTTTGATGAAGCAGATCATTAGTCGTAGTAACTTTGTAATCTAAGGTAGCATCTACAAGTAGGAAGTTAATAATCATCTCGGCTACTTATTCTACAYGATTCGAATCACCACTATGTGGTTACAATTAGACTTTTCTTTWATTCGAATGTCATCTACGTTACCCAGCAAAGGCCCTGTTACGATGTCTTGTACGGCAGSTGACACATAATGTTTTTTTCTTTTTCATTTTAAATGAATCTTTGGGACGTCAAATCTATCTATTAATTAAAATGATTGTTTTAGCTCTGTATTTTTGCACCTGCGGTGCTGGTTACAAATTGTTTTATTACATAAGCGCCGTGTGCCGTCATTCAGTAGTGTGGCATAATTTTGATGAGTTTCTAACAAGTACACTAGGAGCACTAGGAAAGMCTTATTAATCAAGTCTAATATGATCTTCCTGTTGCAGGTAGGTTGTATTAATTACATCGAAATGAAATTTGATTTGCTCACCTTATTCTGTTAGATGTTATTATATATTGACTCTAGTAGCTTTGAGACCACAACCCTAGTTTTCTTGCTTTTGCTTCTGTTCTACTTCTGTTCTTTGGTTTTCCTGAACCTTAGAAACATGTCCCTTTACTCTTCATACTTTAATTAATCCTCTTCTTGTTTCATATCGCTTATCATTTTGTTCTAGTTTTCTATCTGGCGAGATAAAGAAATTTTTTATTTTAATTATTCTACTTGTAACGAAGAAGTTCTTTAATCGCAAGCATTGTTCCGACACCCACATTTTTGTTTTATTTTGTCGTTTATTTTAATCTTTTGATTAATCAGTTAATCTCTTTTCCCCTTTTATATCATCTTTTCTCGCAACCCTCATTTGAATTTTGTACTTCTAATTCTTTTTGTCTGTTCATGGTATTTTCTTTGCTTCTTTTTCTTCGTATTTTGCCTATTTTCTTCGTATGTTGTCAAGCAAGTCCTCATTTGAGCCGCTCTTTTAATGGAGCTTATTTCTTCTGTATAAATCTTTGACAAGGCCCTATTAATATAGCAACTATGCTGAAAAGGATATCTTAAGTAAAATAGTGCTGTGTGATTGTTTACAATTATCCATATTGGTTACAGGCATTTTTCTTGATTGGTGCAGCAGTCACTGAMGTAAATGGTAAGTACATTGAACAATCAACTATGACACTATATCTCCGTTCACATTCTATTTAATGAGTTTGTCGGAATCTTTAATCCGAGGAAATTTTTTACTAGAAATTTTAGCGAAATTTCACCTTTCAAGGTAGAAAAAGGAGTTTAACAATACTGATGCTGTGAAAAAAGCTGCATTTTTTTAAAAACGGATTTAATTAAATTAGTAACTTGTCTTACGAGTTATTAAAGCTAYTTTAAAATGTAACGGACATTAAAAATTTATGTAGTAATCTAATTGGATTTAATTGAATAATGGTATTCGCAATAGACGTCTAAGCCTCTCTATTCATCGTTCCGACAAGTTAAACGCGTCATCCGCGCGCGCTGGATTGGCCAATCACAATAGAGGACACGTAATGGCAGCCATGTTGTCCCACAAAAAATGTAAACAAAGTCGAATGGGAAGGGCGAAGTTGAGATGTTGCTCAAATCTTCATTTTTCAGGCGGTATAACCTTAACTAACTATGAAAATAGCTCTTTATATATGAATGTCTAATTTGCATTTCAGCACTTGCAGATCGTGCAGATATWAAAGTCCTTGCATACTGGAGTCTCAATGGATCCGAAACTGGAATTACGTAAGTCACTGTCATTTTTATCGAATAAGAGTAATCWATACAATATAAGAGGATGATCTGCATTGGGATAGCATCATCTTTGCGAAATTTCTTTGTCTATGTTTCGAAGAGCTAATGTAGTTTTGACGCAGATATTGTTTTTGTTTTTATCTTACCATGTTTGTTCTGAAAAGACATCAGACTCTTACCCAGTCGTTACTCTTCATTTTTGGCGCGCGCAAAGGATCAARGGAAGTCGAAAGTAAAAGTAACGACGTTTCTTCCCGCCAGTGCGGACTTCCCTTAATACACCGCGACCCGCAAAATGAGTAAGAGAAACGACTGGTTACGAGTCTGCAAAGACAATGTTTTTACTGAAATTGTAGGATTGTCAAAATCATGTTCATAAGGGACTGTGCAATAATTACCAGGAGGGGGAGGGGGGGGGGGGGTTAACAAATTTCTTAAGCAGAAAATTAGTTAGAACCCCTCCTCCGAAGCGCAAGAAAATAGCTCTTACCCCCCCTCTGCTATATTAGAAATAACGTCAAATACCCCTCCCCTCCCCCAAACTATTAACCTTAGTTATAAAACAAGCACAAGCGAGTCGAGTCAGCTGTAGCAACCCAAAATTCACTAAAGACGAACGCAGATGCAAGACGTGGCTTACTCATCTGGATCTAAGTGTAAAATAACTTTCAAGAGGAGCTGACAAGCAAATGTGGTGACCTTGCTTCTTTCAAATAATTTTGTTCCTGGCAAAGGTTTTTAAGGTCCAAAAGCCTTTGAAAGGCTTATGTAACGTCTTTATGGTCAAAAACGACTTTGATATTACTTGTGCTTGTTATGTCTAATAAATCATCAATATGTTTTTCAGCTTCTACATCTTCAATTTATGTGAAAACTACATCCTCAATTTATGTGACAAAATTKAAAAAWTCAATATTTGAAAMAAAAATCACATCTTGGCCAATTTCAATCACACAWMAACGAGTCTTTGAATTTAGATTTCCATTAGTCAGGCGCGTAGCGTGGAYTTAAKTTTATGCACATGTCAGGGACTGCKTCAYATATTTTGGATCTGGGGGTCTAACGAACGCCAAAGGCGGGAGTATTAAGGGAGTMTGSTCCTCCCCCAGAAAATTTTGAAAAGGAAATAACTCTTGGAAATGCGATTTCCAGCATTTTGAGAGACATCGAAAATCATGAAAATTTTGAATGAAACTTAAGGCCCCCCTTCTGTGATTCTGTTAATTAGGTAATTTTACTTTGAGACCCCCTATCTTGCCATCAATTTTATGTAATGTCTCTCAAAATATCGTTATTTCTAGTATATATATGCTTCCTCGGAGGAGGGGTTCTGACTAATTTTCTGCTTGAGAAATCTGGTTTTACGGCCCCCTCCTGGTAATTATTGCACAGTCCCTTGTGAGAGAAGCTTCCATTTATGAACTATTTCTTGATATACCTATTACCGACACTGGTGAAAAACGCACTGCGCATGCCCACAGCTTTCCCGCCAGTGGGCGCTCGCGTCCGCTCGCGTCTTGAAATCTGTAAACAGAGCGCCTGGCGATTTACAGCGAMAACACAGAAAACACTACGAAAAACCTCATTTTCTCAAAATAGAAATGACAAGATAAAAATAGAAACCACATACTAAAAGAACATATCATGAACAATGATTGATGGAAATATGAATCTTATATATCCGTGAACGAGCTTATAAAYTKTAAAAAACTTTCTCAAAAATCGCTTTACAAAGGAAATTAGGCAGATTTCAACGGAAAGCTGTGGACATGCGCAGTGCGTTTTTCACCAGTGTCCCTATTACCGGTAATACTCAGCACAGTTTCCCTCGTTTCTTTAGACTTACTCTCG